GTGCATGTGTGTGTGTGTGCGTGTGCGTGTGCGTGTGCGTGCGCGTGCGTGTACGTGCGTGTGTGTGTGCGTGTCCGTGTGTGTGTGTGTGCATCTGTGTGTGTGCATGTGTGTGTGTGCGTGTGTGTGTGCGTGTGTGTGTGCGTGTGTGTGTGCGTGTGTGTGTGCGTGTGTGTGTGTGTGTGTGTGTGCGTGTGTGTGTGTGTGTGTGTGTGTGTGTGCGTGTGTGTGTGTGTGTGTGTGTGCGTGTGTGTGTGTGTGTGTGTGCGTGTGTGTGTGCGTGCGTGTGTGTGTGTGTACGTGTACGTGTGTGTGTGCGTGTGTGTGTGTGTGTGCGTGTGTGTGTGTGTGTGTGTGTGTGTGTGTGTGCGTGCGTGTGTGTGCGTGTGTGTGTGTGTGTGTGTGCTGCTCTTTTGTGTCCTGCAGTGCATCTCGAGCTGTGAGACTCTAATCCTCCTCGACACTGTCGTCTCGCGTCTCGATCTCTCATGATCATGTGACACAACAGATTGCAAACAGTTGCTCAGACGACGATGCAGTGTGACAATCGCCGTGGCAACGGGTTGTGTAACGGGACACAGGTGGCCGTGCGGATCCGAGTGAATCTCGTCGAGACGAACACACTGACGTCCTTCTGCGAGTTACTTTGATGTTTTGCAGTGATGATGTCAGAGACACTCGTTCGTTCATTCCTTTATTTATAAAACACTTTATATCTGAACAGTCATGAAAAATACACAGGACATAAAACATCAAAAGCCAAAAAGATACTAATAGTTTTTAACCAAGCTTTAAAACTAGTGATAATAGTTGCGACTGTAAGTATCGACAGTAATTACATGTTGACACTTCAAATATTTTCATTATGTTTATATGGCTTTTTGAAGGACGTTGACTTTATAATAAATTATAATGTAGTAAAACCTGAAAACATGATAAATACACAGATGTACGTTTTATACACATTGAATCTATTTCCTGTGGAAGCGTCACTGATTTGTCTTCATGACGCCGTGATTCACTGAACCAGAACACTGACCGTCTGAGAATGATTCGGTTCAGAGTCGACTGAGTCAAAATCGATTTGATTCGTATCACAAGTGCGTTACGTCTGTTTTGTCCTAAATCGTGTGTGTGTGTGTGTGTGTGTGTGTGAGACACACGCTGCGTTAGTGAGAGAGTGTGTGAGAGAGAGTGTAAGAGAGAGTGTGTGTTAATGAGTAAGTGAGTGAGTTGAGTGTGTCTGTGACGGTGTGTGTATGTGTGTGTGTGTGTGTGTGTGTGTCACCTGTGATGAGCGACTCGTGTGTGTGTGTGTGTGTGTGTGTGTGTGTGTGTGTGTGTGTGTGTGTGTGTCTGTAACTGCTGTTTTCTGTATGTTCAGATGTTGATGTTTTCCTCTAGAAAAAACGCGTATGATTAGACACGTTCAGATTTACAGCACATGTGATCGTTACACACACACACACACTCCTCATTCCTTCAGCACATGTGATCGTTACACACACACACACACTCCTCATTCCTTCAGCACATGTGATCGTTACACACACACACACACTCCTCATTCCTTCAGCACATGTGATCGTTACACACACACACACACTCCTCATTCCTTCAGCACATGTGATCGTTACACACACACACACACACACACACTCCTCATTCCTTCAGCACATGTGATCGTTACACACACACTCCTCATTCCTTCAGCACATGTGATCGTTACACACACACACACACACACACACACACACACACTCCTCATTCCTTCAGCACATGTGATCGTTACACACACACACACACACTCCTCATTCCTTCAGCACATGTGATCGTTACACACACACACACACACACACACACACACACACATACACACACACACGTACACACACACTCCTCATTCCTTCAGCACATGTGATCGTTACACACACACTCTCCTCATTCCTTCAGCACATGTGATCGTTGCACACACACACACTCCTCATTCCTTCAGCACATGTGATCGTTGCACACACACACACTCCTCATTCCTTCAGCACATGTGATCGTTGCACACACACACACACACACACTCCTCATTCCTTCATCACATGTGATCGTTACACACACACACACACACACACACACACACACACATACACACACACACACACACACATACACACACACTCCTCATTCCTTTAGCACATGTGATCGTTACACACACACACTCCTCATTCCTTCAGCACATGTGATCGTTACACACACACACACACACACACACTCCTCATTCCTTCAGCACATGTGATCGTTACACACACACTCCTCATTCCTTCAGCACATGTGATCGTTACACACACACACACACACTCCTCATTACTTCAGCACATGTGATCGTTACACACACACACACACACACACACACACACACACACACACTCCTCATTCCTTCAGCACATGTGATCGTTACACACACACACACACTCCTCATTCCTTCAGCACATGTGATCGTTACACACACACACTCCTCATTCCTTCAGCACATGTGATCGTTACACACACACACACACACACACACACACACACACTCCTCATTCCTTCAGCACATGTGATCGTTACACACACACACACACACTCCTCATTCCTTCAGCACATGTGATCGTTACACACACACACACACACACACACACACACACACATACACACACACACGTACACACACACTCCTCATTCCTTCAGCACATGTGATCGTTACACACACACTCTCCTCATTCCTTCAGCACATGTGATCGTTGCACACACACACACTCCTCATTCCTTCAGCACATGTGATCGTTGCACACACACACACTCCTCATTCCTTCAGCACATGTGATCGTTGCACACACACACACACACACACTCCTCATTCCTTCATCACATGTGATCGTTACACACACACACACACACACACACACACACACATACACACACACACACACACACATACACACACACTCCTCATTCCTTTAGCACATGTGATCGTTACACACACACACTCCTCATTCCTTCAGCACATGTGATCGTTACACACACACACACACACACACACACACTCCTCATTCCTTCAGCACATGTGATCGTTACACACACACTCCTCATTCCTTCAGCACATGTGATCGTTACACACACACACACACACTCCTCATTACTTCAGCACATGTGATCGTTACACACACACACACACACACACACACACACACACACACACTCCTCATTCCTTCAGCACATGTGATCGTTACACACACACACACACTCCTCATTCCTTCAACACACACGTTTCTTCTCTATCTTTATCCTCATGCTGTCCTTCCATTGACTTCTGTGATTGGTATTTGAAGCTAATGATGTTTTCTATCCCCTTTCTGCGTTGTTTTCCTAACTTTACATGATTCTCACACACACACACACACACACACACACACACACTCCTCATTCCTTTAGCACATGTGATCGTTACACACACACACACACACACACACACACACATGACTCATTTGAGTTTGCTCTAACAGGACCTGCCGTGTGTTTAGCAGCTCTTCTGGTCAGATCGTGAAAGGCCGGTGTTTCTGCCAAACTCTCACGGGCGTGTTTAACGCTGCCAGGAACATAGAGCGAGACGCTAGCGAGATCTCAGAGTCCGTGTGTGTGCGTGTGTGTGTGTGTGTGTGCGTGTGCGTGTGCACAGAACCACAGAAATAAACACGCTGAATCTGCGCAGTGTGTCATTTAACATAAAAGTTCTTCTGAACCCCATAATTCAATTCACATTTATTTGTATAGCGCTTCACACAACACATCATTTCACAGCAGCTTTACAGAAAACACACATTACAGTTTACAGTGATCCGTTATTATCAGAGGAAACTGTCTGAGTTATGCATTACGAGAGGGGCGTTACACTGTACAATGAAACACGTGACGCAAACGTGTGTGAGTGAGAGAGAGAGATTGTGTGTGTGTGTGTGTGTGTGTGTGTGTGTGTGTGTGTGAGAGAGAGAGAGAGCGAGATTGTGTGTGTGAGAGAGAGAGAGAGAGAGAGAGAGAGAGAGAGAGAGAGAGAGAGAGAGAGAGAGAGAGTGTGTGTGTGTGAGTGTTCATTAGGGTGCATTTCAGGAGTGTACATATACAAAATCACAGTTAGCTAAAAATGTATTAATTTAATGCAGGAACTATGAGCTCAGTAAAGTAATGAATACTTGTTTGTTAACAGATGATTATGACATTTAGAAAAATGTAGCATTGTTATAATAATCAAACAGAATTTATGGATTATTTTTGAGTGTAAAAATTACCTTTAGAGTCAAACGAGTTAATGTGGCAAATGGGAAAAGGGGAAGGTTTAATATCTGAACGAGTTTGACCGAAGAAACATTAGGAAACACATGATGACTGTAGAGGAGTCTGCGTTCCTGGCGTTCATGTTTGTTTACATAGCACTGTTTATCAATCAAATAATATCATTCCTTAAAGTCCCCCTGTGGTGAGAATCCAGCTTTTAATGTTGTTTATGTGTCTATGTGGTGTTTAATACGCTTTAAGACACACCATGTGTAAGTTCATAAGTCGACAGCATTGCTGAGTATTTCCTCCTTAAAACTGCAGTGAACCAAAGACAGTCTCAAAAACACGGTTTGAAATCGCTGGTGTTTCTGACGTCACAAACGACCTTGTAACCAATCAGATCAACGTGTGATCGTCAACCAGTGGATCTCTGAGCTGAGGGAGTGAGTGGAGGCGGGGCTCATCTGCATATTCATAGAACCGCGCATACTAAATGAGGCGAGGGTGTCGAGTTACATTCAAGATATTTTAAGACATGAAGACGGAAAAAACATTTAAATTGAATGAAGTTTTAAGGGATCAGTGATCGACTACAGGGGGACTTGCTGCCCTTTCACAGTCTTTGACATTGCCGACTGGAGTTGGGATCTTCCCCTGTGTCTCCCGCTGTAAAGGCCTGGTGTGTGTTTCCCCAGAGCGTAACATGGACGGTCTCCAGCAGGCGCTCCATCAGTCCGTGTTTCTGTCCGCCATGTCGGCTCACCCGAGTCGAGACCTGCCGCTGTGCTGGGATCAGCACTGCAAACTGCTGCCCGGGGTGGCCGGCGTCCAGGCCAGCCTCGTCACACACTGGACCGTAGAGGAGGTAAGGAACACGGCACCGCGCGTGTGTGTGTGTGTGTGTGTGTGTGTGTGTGTGTGTGTGTGTGTGTGTGTGTGTGTGTGTGTGTGTGTGTGTGTGTGTGTGTGTGTGTGTGTGTGTGTGTGTGTGTGTGTGTGTGTACATGTTTTTCTACACACTCATGCGGACTCGTGTCACTGTGGACCTAAATTGAGGAAACAAGCTTATAAATCATACAGAATGAGTTTTTTTGAAAATGTAAAAATGCAGAAATTTGTGTGTGATGGGTAGGTTTAGGGGTCGGGTTAGTGTGTGTGTGTGTGTGTGTGTGTGTGTGAGATGGGTAGGTTTAGGGGTCGGGTTAGTGTGTGTGTGTGTGATGGGTAGGTTTAGGGGTCGGGTTAGTGTGTGTGTGTGTGTGAGATGGGTAGGTTTAGGGGTCGGGTTAGTGTGTGTGTGTGTGATGGGTAGGTTTAGGGGTCGGGTTAGTGTGTGTGTGTGTGTGAGATGGGTAGGTTTAGGGGTCGGGTTAGTGTGTGTGTGTGTGATGGGTAGGTTTAGGGGTCGGGTTAGTGTGTGTGTGTGTGTGTGATGGGTAGGTTTAGGGGTCGGGTTAGTGTGTGTGTGTGTGTGTGTGTGTGTGTGTGTGTGTGTGTGTGTGTGTGTGTGTGTGTGTGTGTGTGTGTGTGTGTGTGAGAGAGATGGGTAGGTTTAGGGGTCGGGTTAGTGTGTGTGTGTGTGATGGGTAGGTTTAGGGGTCGGGTTAGTGTGTGTGTGTGTGTGTGTGTGTGTGTGTGTACATGTTTTTCTACACACTCATGCGGACTCGTGTCACTGTGGACCTAAATTGAGGAAACAAGCTTATAAATCATACAGAATGAGTTTTTTTGAAAATGTAAAAATGCAGAAATTTGTGTGTGATGGGTAGGTTTAGGGGTCGGGTTAGTGTGTGTGTGTGTGTGTGAGATGGGTAGGTTTAGGGGTCGGGTTAGTGTGTGTGTGTGTGTGTGTGTGTGTGAGATGGGTAGGTTTAGGGGTCGGGTTAGTGTGTGTGTGTGTGTGTGTGTGTGTGTGTGTGTGTGTGTGTGTGTGTGTGTGTGTGAGATGGGTAGGTTTAGGGGTCGGGTTAGTGTGTGTGTGTGTGATGGGTAGGTTTAGGGGTCGGGTTAGTGTGTGTGTGTGTGTGAGATGGGTAGGTTTAGGGGTCGGGTTAGTGTGTGTGTGTGTGATGGGTAGGTTTAGGGGTCGGGTTAGTGTGTGTGCGTGTGATGGGTAGGTTTAGGGGCCGGGTTAGTGTGTGTGTGTGTGTGTGATGGGTAGGTTTAGGGGTCGGGTTAGTGTGTGTGTGTGTGTGTGAGATGGGTAGGTTTAGGGGTCGGGTTAGTGTGTGTGTGTGTGTGTGTGTGTGTGTGTGAGATGGGTAGGTTTAGGGGTCGGGTTAGTGTGTGTGTGTGTGTGTGTGTGTGAGATGGGTAGGTTTAGGGGTCGGGTTAGTGTGTGTGTGTGTGATGGGTAGGTTTAGGGGTCGGGTTAGTGTGTGTGTGTGATGGGTAGGTTTAGGGGTCGGGTTAGTGTGTGTGCGTGTGATGGGTAGGTTTAGGGGCCGGGTTAGTGTGTGTGTGTGTGTGTGATGGGTAGGTTTAGGGGTCGGGTTAGTGTGTGTGTGTGTGTGTGTGTGTGTGTGTGTGTGTGTGTGTGTGTGAGAGAGATGGGTAGGTTTAGGGGTCGGGTTAGTGTGTGTGTGTGTGATGGGTAGGTTTAGGGGTCGGGTTAGTGTGTGTGTGTGTGTGAGATGGGTAGGTTTAGGGGTCGGGTTAGTGTGTGTGTGTGTGATGGGTAGGTTTAGGGGTCGGGTTAGTGTGTGTGTGTGATGGGTAGGTTTAGGGGTCGGGTTAGTGTGTGTGTGTGTGATGGGTAGGTTTAGGGGTCGGGTTAGTGTGTGTGTGTGTGTGTGTGTGTGTGATGGGTAGGTTTAGGGGTCGGGTTAGTGTGTGTGTGTGTGTGTGTGTGTGTGTGTGTGTGTGTGTGTGAGAGATGGGTAGGTTTAGGGGTCGGGTTAGTGTGTGTGTGTGTGTGTGTGAGAGATGGGTAGGTTTAGGGGTCGGGTTAGTGTGTGTGTGTGTGATGGGTAGGTTTAGGGGTCGGGTTAGTGTGTGTGTGTGTGTGTGTGTGTGTGTGTGTACATGTTTTTCTACACACTCATGCGGACTCGTGTCACTGTGGACCTAAATTGAGGAAACAAGCTTATAAATCATACAGAATGAGTTTTTTTGAAAATGTAAAAATGCAGAAATTTGTGTGTGATGGGTAGGTTTAGGGGTCGGGTTAGTGTGTGTGTGTGTGTGTGAGATGGGTAGGTTTAGGGGTCGGGTTAGTGTGTGTGTGTGTGTGTGTGTGAGATGGGTAGGTTTAGGGGTCGGGTTAGTGTGTGTGTGTGTGTGTGTGTGTGTGTGTGTGTGTGTGTGTGTGTGTGAGATGGGTAGGTTTAGGGGTCGGGTTAGTGTGTGTGTGTGTGTGATGGGTAGGTTTAGGGGTCGGGTTAGTGTGTGTGTGTGTGTGTGATGGGTAGGTTTAGGGGTCGGGTTAGTGTGTGTGCGTGTGATGGGTAGGTTTAGGGGCCGGGTTAGTGTGTGTGTGTGTGTGTGATGGGTAGGTTTAGGGGTCGGGTTAGTGTGTGTGTGTGTGTGTGTGTGAGATGGGTAGGTTTAGGGGTCGGGTTAGTGTGTGTGTGTGTGTGTGTGTGTGTGTGAGATGGGTAGGTTTAGGGGTCGGGTTAGTGTGTGTGTGTGTGTGTGTGTGTGTGTGTGAGATGGGTAGGTTTAGGGGTCGGGTTAGTGTGTGTGTGTGTGTGATGGGTAGGTTTAGGGGTCGGGTTAGTGTGTGTGTGTGTGTGAGATGGGTAGGTTTAGGGGTCGGGTTAGTGTGTGTGTGTGTGTGATGGGTAGGTTTAGGGGTCGGGTTAGTGTGTGTGTGTGTGTGTGATGGGTAGGTTTAGGGGTCGGGTTAGTGTGTGTGTGTGTGATGGGTAGGTTTAGGGGTCGGGTTAGTGTGTGTGCGTGTGATGGGTAGGTTTAGGGGCCGGGTTAGTGTGTGTGTGTGTGTGTGATGGGTAGGTTTAGGGGTCGGGTTAGTGTGTGTGTGTGTGTGTGTGTGTGTGTGTGTGTGTGTGTGTGTGTGTGTGTGAGAGAGATGGGTAGGTTTAGGGGTCGGGTTAGTGTGTGTGTGTGTGATGGGTAGGTTTAGGGGTCGGGTTAGTGTGTGTGTGTGTGTGTGTGTGTGTGTGTGTGTGTGTGTGTGTGTGAGATGGGTAGGTTTAGGGGTCGGGTTAGTGTGTGTGTGTGTGATGGGTAGGTTTAGGGGTCGGGTTAGTGTGTGTGTGTGATGGGTAGGTTTAGGGGTCGGGTTAGTGTGTGTGTGTGTGATGGGTAGGTTTAGGGGTCGGGTTAGTGTGTGTGTGTGTGTGTGATGGGTAGGTTTAGGGGTCGGGTTAGTGTGTGTGTGTGTGTGTGTGTGTGTGTGTGTGTGTGTGTGTGTGTGTGTGTGTGTGTGTGTGTGTGTGTGTGTGAGAGATGGGTAGGTTTAGGGGTCGGGTTAGTGTGTGTGTGTGTGTGTGTGTGTGAGAGATGGGTAGGTTTAGGGGTCGGGTTAGTGTGTGTGTGTGTGTGTGATGGGTAGGTTTAGGGGTCGGATTAATGTGTGTGTGTGTGTGTGTGTGATGGTTAGGTTTAGGGGTCGGGTTAGTGTGTGTGTGTGAGTGTGATGGGTAGGTTTAGGGGTCGGATTAAAGTGTGTATGTGTGTGTGTGTGTAAATGAAAAGACTTGTACAAGTATGTTAGCCATGAACTGTAGACCTGTCACCTTGTCAAAGACCCTTCCCAGAGTATTTGGATCTTGTTTTCTTTGTAATGTCTTTCAGATCCAAATAAAAGCATTCAAATGTGTGATGGGTAGGTTTAGGGGTCGGATTAATGCGTGTGTGTGTGTGTGTGTGTGTGATGGGTAGGTTAAGGGGTCGGATTAATGCGTGTGTGTGTGTGTGTGTGTGATGGGTAGGTTTAGGGGTCGGATTAATGCGTGTGTGTGTGTGTGTGTGTGTGATGGGTAGGTTAAGGGGTCGGATTAATGCGTGTGTGTGTGTGTGTGTGTGATGGGTAGGTTTAGGGGTCGGATTAATGCGTGTGTGTGTGTGTGTGTGTGATGGGTAGGTTTAGGGGTCAGGTTAGTGTGTGTGTGTGTGTGTGTGTGTTAGTGTCTGAAAGTGGTCATGTGATGGTTTATTTGTTCCTGTTTGAACCATATAATCTCAGTTATTACGTTTCCAAGAAAGTCATCCATCTCCGTTTATACAAAATGCAATATTCATATACAGTTTAGATTCACTGTAATTGTCAATACTGACAGCGATTTGTTTTGGGAAAAACAGTTGATTTACTTGCAACTTATATAATGTCACAGTGTAGCAGACGTTATGCAAATGATGTGACGTGGCGTGGACCAATGGCAGTGCAGAGCCCGGAGGTCATGTGTTCCGCAGAGTATATAAACACTCAGTGGTTTCAGGCTGTTTGTGAAGGTAATGATGGGTTGCAGAGGTGAAACCGAGCCTCTTCATGCCGCCGGGCACATGATGGGATGGTTGTCATGGTAACCAGGTGCGTCTGAAACTGACCCCGGGCCGTGAGGATGAACCGAGCGCGAGATAAACACACAACGTGTGTGTTGAACTACAGACTGTGTAAATATCAGCCCCGCGGTCCTCAAACAGCACATTACTCCACTCCTTAGTGTCAGAACACCAGCATCTGTGGTTAAAAGTATATAAATGTGTATTGTGTTATAAATGTCGGCTGGTTTGTCTAGATCAGACTCTTATTCCTCGGCTGGATCGTGTCGAGACTTTGAAGCTGCACTGAAACTCACATCTGGACCTTCGACCCGTTGGACCCCATTGAAGACACTATATGGAGAACATCCTAATTTCTAATCCTTCATTTCTTTTCGACTGAAGACAGAAAGACTTGAACATCTTGGATGACGTGCGGGAGAGTAACTCATCAGGACATGTGAAATATCCTCTGATATGTCAGTTTAGTAGCCGTGTTCCTGGATCAGTTTTGTCCGGATGGTAAGTGTGTCTCGTGGTCTCGTGTCTGCTGTGGTTTGAGGTCTTCTAAAGCCGTTCTCGTATCAGACGAACACGAGCGCTGGAACCGGAGGAACACCACAGATGGCAGAACCTCTAATGGATCCTGGAGTTCTCCTGCGCTCGGAAAGCCGGATCGATCTTAGGCAAAAATAGATCGCGTCAATGTTTCGTTTGAAGCCTTTTATAAACGAGTGTGAACAGTAACGATGCTTCCTGTAATCGCCTCTGCCGTCCAGCACTCCGGTTCATTAGAGACCAGAACTTTATTATCAGGAACCACCAGGCCTGATGCCTTAGAGACGGCCGCTTATACAGTCTGAGTGTGTGTGTGTGTGTGTGTGTGTCAGGTTTCGCTGGGAACTCACTCCAGAAGGTCTTGGCACTCGTGTTCGTGGAGTTTGTGGAGTTCGTTTGTTTAATTAAAGCGCGGCACGGATCCAGAGAACATCTACAGTCTGGAAACTCAATGTCGTAAAGCACATCAGTGATGTCCTTCAGATTCAAAGTAAAAGTGACATTGTGTGCAATTACTGTATCGCTCTTAATAGTCTATTTATAAATCTCTTTAACCAGAACTATTGTTATAATCATGACTGAAAACAAATTCATTCAAAGCATTCTATCTTCATCCTTCAGCTAAAATTAAATAATACTAAAATCCACCAGTAGGTGGCGGCAGATCATCGTCTTAACGAGCGAGTCATTGAATCATTCACTCAAAATGATTCGTTTAAAGCAGCTGATTCATTCAGGGTGAAAGCAGAAGTGAGTGAGATAGGTCGTTCATTAGAATGATTCGTTCACTATCGAAAGTCAAGTCCCCTTTATTTATCTAGCGCTTTTACACTACAGTTTTACAGCGATAAAGGGAAAATGATGCAATAAAGATTGTTTCTTGAATAAAATACCGTCATAGTCCGGCTTAAGTAAGAAGACGTGCTGATTCAGGAAAACTGCACGTTTGCTCGTGGGATATTGCTTATAAATATTAAAAACTAGTATTTTATGCACCATATCTTGGATTTGGAAGCAATTTTATTAATTTTGGTGCCATTTTAGCCCCAATCCCACGTGTGTGTGTGTGTGTGTGTGTGTCTGAGTGTGTCTGAGTGTGTCTGTGTGTGTGTGTGTGTGTGTCTGTGTGTGTGTGTGTGTGTGTGTGTGTCTGAGTGTGTGTGTGTCTGAGTGTGTGTGTGTGTGTCTGAGTGTGTGTGTGTGTGTGTGTGTGTGTGTCGGAGTGTGTGTGTGTGTGTGTGTGTGTCTGTGTGTGTGTGTGTCTGAGTGTGTGTGTGTGTGTGTGTGTGTCTGTCTGTCTGTGTGTGTGTGTGTGTGTGTGTCTGAGTGTGTGTGTGTGTGTGTGTGTGTGTGTGTGTGTGTGTGTGTGTGTGTCGGAGTGTATGTGTCGGAGTGTGTGTGTGTGTGTGTGTGTGTCTGAGTGTGTGTGTGTCTGAGTGTGTGTGTGTGTGTGTGTGTGTCGGAGTGTATGTGTCGGAGTGTGTGTGTCTGAGTGTGTCTGTGTGTGTGTGTGTGTGTGTGTGTGTGTGTGTGTCGGAGTGTATGTGTCGGAGTGTGTGTGTGTCTGAGTGTCTGAGTGTGTGTGTGTGTGTGTGTGTGTGTGTGTGTGTGTGTGTGTGTGTGTGTGTGTGTGTGTGTGTGTGTGTGTGTGTGTGTGATGGCGGGGCAAGGCTGTTTTTCGAGGCCGTTTCAAGTGTACCGGATGAAACATAGCAAAGGCTTCTACAGCTTTTCTTCAACGACGCTCCTCCACACTCACACACACACACACACACACACACACACACTCCTGCGATGGTGCAGGTGGTTATTCTTAGCACTGGATTGTTGGATAATCCTGGATCTCTGAGTGGACGTTTCTCTGTAAACGCTGCAGGATATTTCTGTGCTGACGCTGCAGAAGCTCTGAGTCTCTGACACAAACACTGACTGACCCGTCGCCTTCACACACACACACACACACACACACACACACACGCCTCTTTAACGTGGTGTTTTCACATGAATCATTTAACTCTGTACCAGTAAATTGACTCTGGTTTGAGACTAAAGTGAATGATTCTGTGATTAAAACAACTCTAAAATACAGTAGAAGAAATATTCTTTGGTCATTATTAATAAATGTAACTATTTTATGAGCATTGATGTCTTATGCACTGTAAATGGAGTGGGAATTTTATAAAAAAAGCAATAAGGCCGGTGTTTTAGTAAATTTACGTGTAATAAATATATTTTTAGATATAATATGGAGAGAGTGATGAAGAAGAGAGAATGATGTCAGTTAACATTTATTACTAATTTACTGTCAGCACAAAATCTAGCATGAAATATGTTTATTACATTTTTTTTTACGTTAGCATATTTGTGATGTTGATAACTGTGGAAACGCATCATCACAGTCTAGTTCATTAGTGTGACTGCGACTCGATTCAGACACATTGTAACCTTGATGTGTGTGTGTGTGTGTGTGTGTGTGTGTTTCAGGTGGCTGATTTCATCCATTCTTTACCCGGCTGTGAGGAACAGGCCAAGCAGTTCAGAGAGGAGGTACTGTGGAGTTTCAAATCAAACACACATGAGAGATGAAATACATAAAATCATTCCTGCTCCATCACAAACAAAAGCTCCTAATCAGTGTTTGTGTCTCCGTCTCAAGAAGAGTATCAAAGCGCTCAGAAGGGAGAAAGCTCAACTGCTCAAAGACTGAGAAGCATATGTGAGAAATTATAAAAGTTTGATTTAAAAAAAATAATAATAATTTAAGTCTCTTCTGCTTATTTGATCAAAAATACAGGGAAAAAAAGTGAAATATTATTCCAATGTAAAAAACTTTTCAGCATCATTACTCCAGTCACATGATCCTTCAGAAATCACAATATGATGATCAAGAAACATTTATGATTATTATCAGTGTTGAGTTTGTGCAAAAGAACAGCATTTATTTCATATAGAATCTTCTGTAACATTATAAATGTCTTTACCGTCACTTTTGATCAATTTAATGCGTCCCTTCAAAAAATAGCGTAAGACTTACGAGAATATTTATTTGTTAATTATTTTTTCTTGCTGATTGTAAACTTCTCCAAGCAAGATCACATCACGCAAGATCAATATTCTTAGTCCGTTTTCAATGAAGAGAGACTTTAAATACAGTGTCTCTGCTAAAAGTTAATTGTGCCATATTTCAGATATGATCCAGCTGTATATGATTCTGTAATGTTTTCCCTCACTAGCAAATCGACGGGAAGGCCTTTCTCCTGTTGACGCAGAGAGATATCGTTAAGATAATGAGCGTGAAGCTCGGCCCCGCCCTCAAGATCTACAACTCCATCCTGATGTTCCGACACGCTGAGGACGACCAATCAGCAGCCGGCGACAGCAACACATGATGCCCGAGCGACCAATCACAGCCCAGTTCCCTGCCCCTGCGAGTCTGTGTGTGAAACAGATATTAATCTGCTGTCTCGATGCATTCCTACACCTCTCGTGCCCCGAACGCCCTCCGTTAGTGCTTTCACCCGTACGAATCAGGTTTCTGTCTCCACGACCCGGTTCTGCCTTCAAACACACACGTGTGCGAACTCCTCTTACTCCTTTTACTTAATCTCCTCTTACTTAATCTCCTTTTACTTAATCTCCTCTTACTTAAACTCCTCTTACTTAAACTCCTCTTACTTAAAGGATTAGTTCACTTTCAAAGGAAAATTAGCCCATGATTTACTCGCCCTCCAGCCATCCTAGGTGTATATGACATTCTTCTTTCAGACGAACACAATCAGAGTTATATTAAAAAATATCCTGGCTCTTCTAAGCTTTATAATGGCAGTGAATTGCAACCAACAGATTGAAGCTCAAAATAGTGCATCTATCCATCATAAAAGTGCATCCATCCATCATAAAAGTGCATCTATCCATCATAAAACTGAATCTATCCATCATTAAAGTGCATCTATCCATCATAAAAGTGCATCTATCCATCATTAAAGTGCATCTATCCATCATAAAAGTGCATCCATTCATCATAAAAGTGCATCTATCCATCATAAAAGTGCATCTATCCATCATAAAAGTGCATCTGTCCATCATAAAAGTGCATCTGTCCATCATAAAAGTGCATCTGTCCATCATAAAAGTGCATCTATTCATCATAAAAGTGCATCTATCCATCATAAAAGTGCATCTATTCATCATAAAAGTGCATCTGTCCATCATAAAAGTGCATCTGTCCATCATAAAAGTGCATCTATTCATCATAAAAGTGCATCTGTCCATCATAAAAGTGCATCTGTCCATCATAAAAGTGCATCTATCCATCATAAAAGTGCATCTATCTGATGGACAGATGCACGTTTTTGAGCTTTAATCTGTTGGTTGCAATTCACTGCCATTATAAAGCTAGGAGGAGCCAGGATATTTTTTTAAATAACTCTGATTGTGTTCGTCTGAAAGAAGAATGTCATATACACCTATGATGACTTGAGGGAGAGTAAATCATGGGCTAATTTTCATTTGAAAGTGAACTATCCCTTTAAACTCCTCTTAAACTCGACGACATGACAATCAATCAGACGCGGTCAACGGCGTATTATCAGGGGTTTCTCGTTCACGGTGCTATTTATACTCAAACACAAACAGGTGAACAGCGACTTCAGGATTTACTCTCGAACGTGTGTGTGTGTGTGTGAGAGAGAGTGTGTGTGAGAGTGTGTGTGTGTGTGTGTGTGTGAGAGAGTGTGTGTGAGAGAGTGTGTGTGTGTGTGTGTGTGTGTGTGTGTGTGTGTGTGTGTGTGTGAGAGAGAGTGTGTGTGAGAGAGTGTGTGTGTGTGTGTGTGTGTGTGTGTGGTGTGTGTGTGTGTGTGTGAGAGAGAGAGTGTGTGTGTGTGAGAGAGAGAGAGAGAGAGAGTGTGTGTGTGTGAGAGAGAGAGAGAGAGAGAGTGTGTGTGTGTGTGACTTTAAATGAATAGTTCGTCCAATAATGATCGTTCTGTCATCTTTACTCGCCCTCGAGTCCAAACCCGTTGACTTTCATCAAAATAACGCCAGTAAACACCGGATCTGTTCGGCACCATATAATAATCATGTAAGGCTTTTAATAGCTTTGAATTATGACTGAAAGCTCATTGATTAAAGAAGTTCTGCTTCTCTGGATCTCTCGAATCAAGTTTATATCAATGACATCTCTGTCCATTTCAGTGGAGAGATCATCAGTGAAGAATGGCGTAATGGCGAAAACGTTGATTCAATACTATTTTTTGGTGTTTTTTGGAGCAGCTTCTTTCATTAAATGGGAGAATGTTCTTCAGAAATGTGAATGTTCACACGAGTGCGAGTAACGATGACGGAGCGGTGATCAGTGTCGGAACTCTTCATCGATACTCAGAGATTTGTGCCCTTTCTGTTACTTCCTCTAATTTTATTCTATTTTGTACAGTTCTGTATGATTTTTGCTGTACCTGATGAATCACCTTTTATTTATTGTGCAGAATCACCGTATGTTTGCACAGTGAAGGATAATAATATATTGTATATGACAAATTTCAAATGCCAAATGGATTTGTTTTAAATTGAAGAGTGTTTATTTTTGTGATGTATTGCACAGAGCCCGGAATAAGACGACTCCCCGTTTATGTTTAATGAAATATTATAAAAGTAAGTGAAAAACTTTATTGGAGTGAGAATGCTGCGCTCTCATTGGCTCTCGAAGCAGATCACGTGATCTGAATTCTCGTTTCGCATCAGGGGATTTTCCGATGATTATTTAAAGACTTGCTATAATGCACAAAGCAAAACGAAAACGATATATATTTTGCTATGAATTTTGACATTGGTGTGATTTCATTGAATCCGTCTCATTTTGAACTTTTCTTTCATTTAGCCAAACGCCAGGAATGTAAGTCCATCGTGTGTGTGTGTGTGTGTGTGTTAATTGTAGTTCAGTTTTTCTGAAGATGATCAGTTGAGTTGCATTGCTGTATTAGTTCACTGCTGTTCAGTCCATGATTGATTTATTGATCTGATGTTCTGAACATATTTATAAACCCTCTTTCTTACACTCACTCACACTTTGTACAACAGAATTCATTGAGTCCACATGCGCACCCTAATAATAAACAGTGGATATCTGCTCCGCGTCTGTCGTCTTTATATAAACGTCTAGGTGGATGTTCTTAAGGAGAACGCATGTTGTTTCTCAGCGTGGTTCATCAGGACACAAGAAATGTCAGAAAGCATATCTTATCTCCGGCAGCAGCATTAGTGGAAGAACACATTGATTTATCCGCGTTTATTAATAGAGTTGAGCTCGACCAGAGCAAAGACCCGAAGCAGCCGAAAGCGTCTGAATATGAGTGTGGAATCAGTGAATGTTGTTCTGTTAGAGCAGCTCAGTGACCTTCAGATGCACCTCGAACATCTGGACGAGCGTCATGGGCAATCAACCAATCCGGTTAATATTAATATACGGATTTATAAACCTTATCATTTATTTTGTGCTAGGCTGTTTGTTTTAAAGAAAATGCTTTTCAATACACTTTTAGACCTAAAGGTTTAGTGGGGTTCTATATAGAACACTAGGGTTCTCGACTCGATTTAAAGAACGCTTTATGAACAAAACATTTTCTATATAGAACACTAGGGTTCTCAACTCGATTTTAAAGAACCCTTTATGCCAAAAAAGGTTCCATATAGAACACTAGGGTTCTTGACTCGATTTAAAGAACGCTTTATGCCCAAAAAGGTTCTATATAGAACACTAGGGTATATAAGAAATTTTCTATATAGAACACTAGGGTTCTCGACTTGATTTTAAAGAACCCTTTATGAACAAAACATTTTCTACATAGAACACTAGGGTTCTTGACTCGATTTTAAAGAACCCTTTATGCCAAAAAGGTTCTATATAGAACACTAGGGTTCTTGACTCGATTTTAAAGAACGCTTTATGCCCAAAAAGGTTCCATATAGAACACTAGGGTTCTTGACTCGATTTAAAGAACGCTTTATGCCCAAAAAGGTTCTATATAGAACACTAGGGTATATAAGAAATTTTCTATATAGAACACTAGGGTTCTCGACTTGATTTTAAAGAACCCTTTATGAACAAAACATTTTCTACATAGAACACTAGGGTTCTTGACTCGATTTTAAAGAACCCTTTATTTCAAAAAAGGTTCCATATAGAACACTAGGGTTCTTGACTCGATTTAAAGAACGCTTTATGCCCAAAAAGGTTCTATATAGAACACTAGGGTATATAAGAAATTTTCTATATAGAACACTAGGGTTCTCAACTCGATTTTAAAGAACCCTTTATGCCAAAAAAGGTTCCATATAGAACACTAGGGTTCTTGACTCGATTTAAAGAACGCTTTATGCCCAAAAAGGTTCTATATAGAACACTAGGGTATATAAGAAATTTTCTATATAGAACACTAGGGTTCTCGACTTGATTTTAAAGAACCCTTTATGAACAAAACATTTTCTACATAGAACACTAGGGTTCTTGACTCGATTTTAAAGAACCCTTTATGCCAAAAAGGTTCTATATAGAACACTAGGGTTCTTGACTCGATTTTAAAGAACGCTTTATGCCCAAAAAGGTTCCATATAGAACACTAGGGTTCTTGACTCGATTTAAAGAACGCTTTATGCCCAAAAAGGTTCTATATAGAACACTAGGGTATATAAGAAATTTTCTATATAGAACACTAGGGTTCTCGACTTGATTTTAAAGAACCCTTTATGAACAAAACATTTTCTACATAGAACACTAGGGTTCTTGACTCGATTTTAAAGAACCCTTTATGCCAAATAAGGTTCCATTTAGAACACTAGGGTTCTTGACTCGATTTAAAGAACGCTTTATGCCCAAAAAGGTTCTATATAGAACACTAGGGTATATAAGAAATTTTCTATATAGAACACTAGGGTTCTCGACTTGATTTTAAAGAACCCTTTATGAACAAAACATTTTCTACATAGAACACTAGGGTTCTTGACTCGATTTTAAAGAACCCTTTATGCCAAATAAGGTTCCATTTAGAACACTAGGGTTCTTGACTCGATTTAAAGAACGCTTTATGCCCAAAAAGGTTCTATATAGAACACTAGGGTATATAAGAAATTTTCTATATAGAACACTAGGGTTCTCGACTTGATTTTAAAGAACCCTTTATGAACAAAACATTTTCTACATAGAACACTAGGGTTCTTGACTCGATTTTAAAGAACCCTTTATGCCAAATAAGGTTCCATTTAGAACACTAGGGTTCTTGACTCGATTTAAAGAACGCTTTATGCCCAAAAAGGTTCTATATAGAACACTAGGGTATATAAGAAATTTTCTATATAGAACACTAGGGTTCTCGACTTGATTTTAAAGAACCCTTTATGAACAAAACATTTTCTACATAGAACACTAGGGTTCTTGACTCGATTTTAAAGAACCCTTTATGCCAAATAAGGTTCCATATAGAACACTAGGGTTCTTGACTCGATTTAAAGAATGCTTTATGCCCAAAAAGGTTCTATATAGAACACTAGGGTATATAAGAAATTTTCTATATAGAACACTAGGGTTCTCGACTC